GTCTGTCTGTCTTTACTTTTCCCAGCGGTAAATGACCGTTATTATGTCGATGTGCTTCTCTTTACTCAGATAAAACTTACACATATTGTTTCTGTCTGTCTGTCTTACTTTTTTCCCAGCGGTAAATGGCCGTTATTGTGTCGATGTGCTTCTCTTTACTCAAACAAACAAAAGAGCAAAATAAAACCAACAATTCGACATCTGTCTGTTTTGACGGTCCTCTGGTATGAGTGGCCCCTGGTTGGGTCTCGTGAGCGGATAGAAGCTGTCACTTGAGGCGATGGATGGTTGGCGGGTGCTCTGGTGTGGTTTGCTTCTTCTTTTCAATGAAAGATCTATCGTCCTTTTCTCCCCTCCTTCTTTTTTATGTTTGTTACTCTCTTGTAACACCTCTACTCTTCTGGCGCTCTTATGACCTTATTATGCAGTTGCGAGTGCCGTAAAACCTCTACTAAAACAAAACAACACTTGAGGCGACTGGTCTCTTGACAGTTGGCTTCGATGCCTGCTGCTCGCTTTCGCTTGGATTATATTCGCACAACGAGCTGTTTGTGGGTGGTTGGCGGATGCTCTGGTGTCGTTTGCTACTTCTTTCCTATCAAACATCTTTCGTCCCTGTTCTCGCATCCCCCTTTTTTGTTTGTTATTCTCTTACCTTCGGCCTTTATATGACCGTATTGTGTTGCAAGTGCCGTAAAACGCTTACTCAAAATTCAACCAAAAAAACCACCAAAAATACCCGAGCAGTTTCGTCTGAAGACACCACCCCCTCACCTCCTTTGCCCCCTCCTCTGGGCTCCTGACACTTTCTGCAGCCTTTCTACTGCTATCCCTTGGCTCCTTACTGCTGTCTTTCAGCCACGCTCCTGATCTTCTGGTAGGAACGATCTACACTTAACCTCTTCGGACAAGGGCGAAATATCTCGGAGGTCCCGTGTGCAAGTTGCGCACGTTAAAGATCCCTTGGTGGTCTAAAATCGATAAGAGCAGGCTTCAGCACCACTCCGGCAAAATTCAAAATTCCTACCAACTGAAAATGTTTATAATGTGTCCCGTGCGCTCATATGACCTTGTGCAGACGCGAGCACCATAAAACACTTACCAACCCCCCCCCCCTCCGAAAAAAACCCACCTACAAAAAAGGAACAAAAACAACAGAAAACCCCCACTGTCATTGGCACTTGTCTTTCCTTCCGGTGCTTCCTCTCCTCCACTTGGCCGTTATGAAGTTTATTACAGTTCACACTGGGTCAGGGCTACTCTGTTTTCTCAGTCAGTTGGTATCATGCTAGACTACAGAGCATATGGTCCTTGTTCTAATCCCCAACTGGGGTTTCTTGAGGTTTTTCCCCCCCAGAATTCTTTACTCATTTTATTTTGTGGGTGGTTGGCGGGTGCTCTGGTGTGGTTTGCTCCTTCTTTCCTATTAAACATCTTTCTTCCTGATGTCTCCTCCTTTTTTATGTGTATTACTCTCTGTAACACATCTAGTCTTCGGCACTTATACGACCGTATTGTGTTGCAAGTTCCGTAAAACTCATACTAAAAAGATAAAAGAATGTGTTCCTTTTTTGTGTTCTTTACTCTCCTACAACACCTCTAATCTTTGGCGTGGGTGGTTGGCGGGTGCTTTGGTGTGGTTTGCTTCTTCTTTCCTATCAAACATCTATCGTCCTTATCTCCCCTTCTTTTTTATGTTCGTTACTCTCTTGTAACACGTCTAATCTTCTGGCGCTCATATGACCTTGTGCAGTTGCGAGCGCCGTAAAACCTCTACTAAAACTAAAACTAAATCTTTGCACTCGTATGACCTTATTGTGTTGCAAGTGCTGTAAAAACTCCCCCTAGAACTAAAAAGTATGTGTACCAAACAGTTCAAGACTTCGTCTTAGCTACCTATCTTAGAATGCTTTTTTTTTTCACAGTTACCGGGTTAGCTAACAGAATAGAATGATAATATTATACTGATTTCTCATTTTCAGGCTTGCAGTGGAAGGCAGTAAGAAGGCAGATTTGGGAGCCGACTATGACCCATCAAAGAACAAGTTCCACCCGATAGAGGACGCATTTTGGAGTCAGAATGAAAAGTGGGTCTTTATTTATTGTGAGAATGTAGTGGGATCTCTGATGAGTTTGAGTTGTAGTTCAGATACATGCTGTACTGTAGTAACTCTTTTGTGTATTTTGATGCTTTATCTCTTGGTTCAATGGAAATGTAAAACGCCCATATTTAAGAAAAAAACAAGTTAATGATAATGATAATAATAATAATGATGATGATGATGATTATCATCATAACAATAATAATAATGTATTGCATTTATATAGCCTCGATCAACAGCAATCTCTATGCACTTTACACTATATTATTACCCCGGCAGACTCTATAGCACTCAGAAACATTCCCTGGAAGCATACAGTGCAAGCAGCCGATTAAGCGCTCAAATACTTAACAAACTGACAAGATCTTAAAAAAAATTCAACCTCCCATAAAAACAACCAAAAAACACGTTGATACTGAAATAGAAAACTAGTCACAATGCTGTTTGTCCTGTTAAAAGAATGTTTATAGGTATCTACGTGTAGAAAGCATATGGGTGTACGACATTCCTCTTGCTTTCTTTTTATCATGCTTTAAAGCAATACATTTGAAAGCAGACCTTGTGCTGTTGAAGCTAAAGAGGTGAGCAGTCTAAGTCTGATTCCCTGTAAAGACTTCTCTGTTGACACCCACCCCTTGGGCGCTCATATGACCTTATGCAGCTGCAAGCGCCTCTACTATTAAAAAAAATAAAAATAAATTTGAACACCTCTCACTCCCTGTCGAATCCTGTTGGCAGGTAGTTAACGCTAGTGTTTTTACTGCCGCAGCATAGAAAAATTGAACCTCATTCTACAGCTGTAGGTTCATGCTTTAACTTTTTTTTTTAGCCATATCGGCTTCAACCGGCTTTCCCGTCATGTTGCCATACAGGCTTTTACTGGCTTTCCTGCTTTTGGCTGTCCCCGTCGTTTTATGAAAAAAAATATTCTGAAATTATGCAAACTGAGCCCAAAAATGTGAAATTATGCGATTCTGTTAATTTTA